TAGGGCTGCCACGATTAGTCGAGTAGTCACGATTACGTCAACTATTAAAATCGTCGACGACTAATTTAATAGTCGACGCGTCGTTTGAAGCTTTGTAAGATCCCGAAAGACGCAGGAATAAGTAGTAGGATTTAAGAGTGTAATAACGGACTGAAACAGAAGACGGCAGCACTGCATGTACAAGGACCTCATATCACTATATCACCCCCCCTCCAAAAAAAAAAGCACTTCACTCTCAAACTGCAGGCTTACTTGTGGTTCCTAGGATATTTAAAAGTAGAATGTGATGCAGAGCCTTCAGCTTTCAGGCCCCTCTTCTGTGGGCCTAGCTCCTAGTTTGGATTCGGGATACGGACACCTACTTTTAGGATTAAGATTAAAACTTTACTTTTTGATAAAGATTACAGTTAGGCTTGAATTAGGTGACCTTAAATCCTTCTTTAGTTATGCTGCAATAGGCTTAAGGCGCCAAGGGTGGCTTTGCTCACAATGAAAAGGAGGAGAATAGGTCAAAACATGAAGCCAAGACTTTGTTGAGTGGTTTTGGGTTTTTTTTTGCAAAGTTATTTGCACAAACTCGGGCTTTCAAACGGCTGAAACTCCTGTGTCTGTGTGTCTCTGAGCTTCTGTGCAGGATTATCAATAAAAAACTGGTAAAAAGTGGCTAGATCGTAGCCGCCGCAGTTCTGACAGAGGTTTCTTCCTGTTATAAGGGCGTTTTTCTCTTCCCACTGTTGACAAATGCTCACTCATAGGGGGTCGTCTGGTTGTTGGGGTTTTCTCTGTGTTATTGTCGGCTCTTTACCTTACAATATGAAGTGCCTTGAGGCGACTGTTGTTGTGATTTCATGCGATATAAATAAAATTGAATTGAACTGAATACAGTGTCAGTCTATGGCCATCAGCTGAACCTAATATAGCAAGGTCAGTACCCTGCATGTGCCTCAGCCAGTGTAAACTTATCCACACCGATCGGTTGACTTGGTGTACCCCTGCATCTTTTTAAATCCCAGGATGACTTTGGGTTTGGGATTTACTTCAGCTCATGTTCCCAGTACTGGCCAAGAATTCCTAACACCTGAACGCATCCTCTTCACTTTGTGTCCTTACCATTACAGATGGGAGAAATTACATCATTGCACATACATGACCTTTGTTAAAAACGTTTTGTGGATTGTATTTAATACATAATGTAAAGTTTCAAATCTTAGTCAATAAAAAAATCAGCAAATAAATATCCTTTGAGTGACATATTTTCACATAATAATGTGAAAATAAAATGCAATGTAATCCAGGGCAACTCAGCGACAAGACAAAACAGCTGTGATATTTTTAAAAAAGGAACTTCATCTAGCCAGCATTCACAGGAACTGTTGGCCTGAGGTGAAAAGGTCATGATACACTGAGCCTCTAATGCTGTCACTCAAAACATTCTGACCTTTCATTGTGTCATTTGAATTGACCTAACAGTAACAGTAGTAAAAGTACAAAATTAAAAAGGTTAAGTAGGTGTAACGTTTTAAAGACTGGAGTCAAAGTAGTGGGGTAAATGAGGAGACATAAATGCTGCACCTATAGAGATTTTGATTTAAATTTAAACTGCTCCAGACTCTTATCAGAGACATTTGGGAAATTTTTTCTACTCCTGTAATTGGATGATGTCAGAGTAGGCGCCATTCCTACACGATTAGCTTTGGCTCTGGCGACACCCCACCGATCTGATGTTCAAACCTTATGTTTATAAGTGGCAGCCAATCAGATCAAAGTGTCTTAAAATGTGGGTGGTCTTTAGAGGGCTAAAATAGCTCATTTCAGACAGAAGATGAACTGAGGGGCCACAACAAGGTAGTATAACATAAATAAGCATCATTTTGAACAATGACTCATACAAAACTACTCCAGTAGCCAAAGATTACAATTATGGACCTGAAAATTGACCTAACGAGTATCCTTTAAAGCTGCTGGTTGCACAACACAGGCAACTTTTAACTATAAAGCATAAAACAATAATTAGATTGTCTTAGTGTTAACGTCTTAAATTAGGTCCTACCTACCCAATTACACGCTGCTATTTTTGTTTTATATGACAAATGTAGAATTACGCCGTTTCATTTCACATTAATGACACTAAAACTGCCTTTACAATTAAACTTCCTTAAAATCGGGTCAGGATATTTTCTTTCCTCAGACAGAACAGAGAAAAGAGTTCACCTCAGTCACATTTCCAATATTCGGTGTGGTTTCTGCTTGGACTGCACGAGTTCATGGCTGCAACACATGCATGAAACAGTTCATGTTTATAATCTGGATGGGACCTCAGCCCTTATACACTATTATGTTACATTATACAAAAATGCTAATGTTGATCATTCTTCCCCCACCCAAAAGAGAAAAAAAAAAAAACCTAATGTCCATCCCGTTTCACCTGTAACATGCACAACAGACTCATAGTGGCTCTGGTGTTTCCCCTTACTGTGAAAAGTTTATTTTTAGCCAGTCTTGTTTCACAGACTCCTGCTCTGCATCGTGACACCACCTATCTTCTCCAGTGGGCCATCAAACCTAAATTTAAAAGCCCAACAAAGCAGCAGAGCTAAGGTCAGTACCACCAAGTGTTAAGCTTATGTGGTGACATAACAAGGTGTCAATGAGCCATGGAGGATCTTTAACTCTCACACTGAAGGAATTTGATTGAGGATTTCCGTGACTACCACATCTGATATAATACTGCCGCTAAAAAGAAAATTGGTAAACAGTAACCAAAGAATCTGGAATTAACAGCCACATATTTTTGCCATTCTTCCCAGAAAACTACCACACTTACCTGCGCATTGGCTTTGCATCCATGCACTGAAGAACAATGTTCGGTCCTATACTTTCAAGTTAACCTGTGAAGAAAAACGACACAAATCAGCATTTCCTGCAGTTAGTCTGACCCCCACAAATATAAGATAAAAACTAGTATTTCTTTATATCTGATTTATGATTCCTGCCTGCTGGTGGGAAAAAGATTACAACCTCTTGTGACAGCAGAATAATCATTTTTTCCTGTAATTTACTCCACACCACAATCCTACCTACCAAATTAACCACTTCTGTCAGCAAGACTGAGACCAAACAATCTACTGCTATCAAATTATGATCCTGCAATAAAACCTACCTTTGTGTGTGTTTTGCTGACACTATGTGTGTGCAGCCTTCTCTCTGTAAATGTTCAGGAACTGGTGACTCACAATGTCTTTCTGCTTCCTTCACATCTCACTCCACTATAACAAATTCTTATAGCCTTCTTCCATTCCATCAATTATTTCCTATCAAACACTTTTATCATCATATCAACCAGTATCACCCCTCTGCTGCCGGTCTTAATTTAAGGTTTTTTTCACATCCAATAACTTTTTTGATACTCACTAAAGCATGGCTCTCTGTAGGCAATCATAGCCCTCTTTTCCTCTTACCTGAGGCACACCTACACCAACCCTGGCTGGTGGGGGATTGCTGTCATTTTTCTTTTTAATTTAATGCATTCCCATTTTACTGTGTAGTATAACTTCATTCAAACATCTTGGCTTTACCAGAAAACTCTGAAGACCCTGGAATGATTTCAATATTTTACAGTCCACCTAGGCCAAACAATGTTTTACCCAAGAAGTTATCATATTTCACTCCAAATTATGATCAAATTCTTATCCTCAGTGATTTTAACATTATTAAAATTATGTTCTAACTGGTCAACCATCAATGACCATTCTAAATTTCCGTATATGAATGAATCCATCCAAGCATTCATTCATTTTCTTCTGCTTATCCATTTCATAAAAATCACACACTTGATTCTAAAAATAAAATATCAATAGTGTAAATGAAAATAAATATCTCAGCACTGCCAGCAGCTCTCTGTCTCACGAGTGGCACAGAATGCTAAGCTGGCTTCCACCAACTGTTGAGTTAACAGACTGCTATCTATCTCCAAACATCATACTACAAGTAGCTCTCACTGTTTCAAACTTCAAACACACTGCTACCATCGCAGTGAGATGGAAAGAGACAGCAGTAAATGCTTAAGCCTACTGTAATTAGTGAAGATCAGTGGACAGAAATGAGCTGAACAGCTGAAGTTAAATATCAAGATTTTTTATGTATGTAAATAACAGTTAACTAAAAAAGTAAGCTAATTCATTACATAGTTTAACGGTTGCACCTTTTGTCTAAAAGCAAACCTCTTCAAAAAATAAAATAAAAACCCCCACACAACAACAACTGGCCTTACTTCCAGTTGATGCCACTCATTCAAAACCTGGAGTCCCTCCTTCACACACACACACACACACACTCTTTTTTCCTTCTCGTTTTTGTCATATGGTTACACTGAGGTGTCAAGTGTTTCAGCCAGCTGCTGCTGCACTAGATTAAATTAACCTAATCAGAGATATACATTAGATTAACCTATTCAGAGAGAAGTCAGAAAACAAGACCCCAAAATGGGAAAGCGCTGTGTGGGTTCATCCAGACAGTAGCGGGCTTGGAAGGCTCATTTTAACGTAAGCTTTATTTCAAAAATATCCCCGATATTACTCCATAGGTCTACATTAACACAAGGCAGCTCTCTATGAGTTATTTATTTTTAGCTCTTCGACATGTAGCTTAGCTAAGACACGCTAATTGTTGGCTGATAGCTGCATTAGCAGTTACCAGACTAGTTGGCGATTAATGATTTCCAGTGCTGTGGTAAGAGTTGTGTTAGTGTGTGACTTAGCCAAAGAGGAGATAAAAGGAGAAGTAACGTCTTCCGAGGCTAAATGCGTTCCAAAAAACTGAAAATCGGGACTAGCTTCTTAACGCTACTTAACTTCCCGAGGATATGTGGGAAAGCTAGTGCTACAGCTAGCACTGAGATAGGAATTCCCTTCACAATACAAACGTTAAAACAACCTAATACAAGCAGAGACAACAAATTTAAACTATAAACGACATTCGAGAATAATCCAAAGCGTTTAGAGTATTTCTGGTCGTCAGAGATGCTGTTTTAGCATCAGCCCACAAGCCACGGATTGAATATTATAAACTGTAGTGCTAACATTAATTAAATCAGTAGTGAGCGGTATATACCGATACTATAAGCAATGACAACTACGTAGGAAAAAAGCAAGAGTGTACCAAACGGCTTTTACCTTAGAGTTCCATCCCAACTACAGACATTAGTCAGCCAGGCTCTTAATGTTTACAGTTTTAAGCCGTCGGTTGTTTAACTCCGCAGCTTTTCTTCCTCGGTAATATGCGCATGCCGAATGTCAAGCGCCACTTCCTGATAATCTGATTTCAAAATAAAAGTAGGGGACTATGTCATCGCACGTAAAGATAAATAATAAAAATAAAATGTACCTGAAGTACTGTGCAAAAGTCTAGTGTAAGGGTCTAAAAGGTAGTTTGTACTATTCCAACGAGCTTGAAAGTCAACATTTTGTTTGAGCATCTTTTTTCTACAACACAGCCTGTCCAAGTCCAACAGGACAATGCCAGTGCTGATCGTGCTGATCGATGTAGCGGTTCCGAATGACAGCAACATCAGAAAGAAGGAACACGAGAAGCTGGAGAAATACCAAGGGCTCAAAGAAGAGCTCGAGAGGATGTGGAGGCTGAAGGTAACGGTGGTCCCCGTGGTAATCGGAGCACTAGGTGCAGTGACTGAGCGCTCAACACAGACAGCATCGTCAGAAGAAAAGTTGATAAAATAAATTTAAAAATTTGTATTGTTCGATACATATGCGTACTGAACCGAAAGAACTGTATCAAACGGTTCAATATCGATACGAGTATCGTTGCACCCCTAATATATATGTATATATATACGTATGTGTGTGTGTGGTCCATTAAGGGTTTTTTGAATATCCCTGGTATATCAGTTACAGCAGTTAGCTGCTTTACAACACACACCCTTTATATAGTTTCATATTCGTTCTTCTTTATAAAAGCTCATACTCCCAAAGAACACAGCGGTATAAAAACAACTTTGTTCCAACAGCCATCACTCAAATTATCAAATCATAGTTTCTGTATCCTACAAGAGTGCAGTGTAGACTTTTGATTGGCTTTCTGTATATTTGTGGTATTTGATATGTGCATGGATATGTATACACTCACTTAGTGTGTAGTTCATACAGTTTCTATTAGAATCTAGCGTTCATTTATTAAACACATTTACTGTATTACTTTTTTTAAAAGAATATCACTACTGAGCAACAAGTGTTTATTTAATTTTAGTCAATAACACTTTCAGTGTCAGCTGGAGAATACTGACGTTTTGTTTACATTTGCTTTTTAATATACAAAACATGTATTCTACATGTTTATCTTTGCAACAAAAAAAAAAAAAAAAAAATTAGTAGTGTAACTCAATCCTGACTTTTCTAGTAGTCATAAGACAGGAAAAAAAGCATTTTAAATCCCATCCCCAGTTGTTCTTTAACCTTAACAAAAACATCACTCAAAAAAAAAAAAAAAAAAAGAGCAAACAAGCAATTTTACATCATTTTCAAACAAAGTGCCTTATCTCATCAAATCCTTCAAATAAATTAAATTTAACACATTAACAAAAGTCTCATCTTACATACATCAGTTTTCACATTAATTCTCATCCATTTCATTTCATGAAATTAATGCAGTAACTTGAGCTGATGAAGTGTCTGCTTACATTAGGCAGCAGTGTAAATTCAGTACTCTTCATATGCTGGACAATGAATTTAACCCATCCAGTCCTTACGAATTCATTTTAAACCAACTCCTCTCACTCTCTATTTGCTCATCATCCAACCATGAAGGAACCAGTGGCTTTATTTTTCAGGCAGCAGGTTGAAGCTCAGGCATGGCTGACTGGCAGTTGTGTCAGTGAATGGGACATGTGTGGCTGCAGCAGAAGTGGGTCTGGAGTTTGCACTGTGGAAGTAACAAACTCAAAGTTATTCAATGATCATAGATGTCGGTAAATAAGCATGGTTTCTGACAAGATCTCAGACTTTGATTTTAACAACAATAATTGATTCCCAGTACTGAAAATGGGATTCCTCCAAACTATCAGCAAGTGATGCAGAGATTACCTTAGCTCTGAGTTTGCTGCGTATTGGTAGATTCAAAGACTGATCAGCATAGCAATGACCATATTACCATCAGTGTTGGGGAGTAACGGAATACATGTACCGCCATTACTCATATTTTGTATTTTAAATACGCAACTGTATTCCATTACAGTTACTGTTTAAGAAGGTGGTATTCAGAATACAGTTACTTTGTTCAAATAAATGGATTACACGGTGATATTTTCCTGTTTTATATGTTAGGCTATGCCCTCTCTATTTTTAGTTTCCACGCCGGTGGACACCCAAACAAAACACGCATTAAGAGGCTCTAATGTCTGTGTCTCAATCTCGCGGCTCATGTCACCTCTACTTGCGGACCGCATAATGACGTGAAGAAATATTTTTTAAAAAAATTATTCACAAAAATGATTTAATATGAAAGCATTAGGCAGCGTGTTACAGGGATCGCCTTAAAGAATGTAGCCTCATAGGCAGTGTAGTCCGTGCTGCAGGGAGAATGGACTGC